TCTGCCCTAAAATAGTTGTATTATTAATAATAATTAACAACACTGGAAAAAAAGATATCGCCTGGTCGAATTAAAATGTTTTTTTCTTACGGTTATTAGAAGGGAACGCCTACGTTCGGTTTTTAGTGGTTAATAATTTTTCGTTGGCTCGCTGTAGGATATCCTAAATCACCGGGCAGATTATTAAAGGAAGGAAACAAGCGATAACTGAATGAGGCCCGATTCAGAGCGTAACAAATACTAATTTATGGGAGCTTTTATCTTATAACAAGAGGAAAATCGATATCATTATAACGGAGAGGAAAACAAAAAACATTCTTCAAACTTATAATTTCCTCTCGAAAAAATGCTTTTTAAAGAGGTACCGGCCGATAGCTTCGCAAACAAATGAAAATCGTGTTTATTATTTATGAACATCCTCCTCCTTCGATAATCAATACTTTAGACGTCACACATTAAGAATATAATGGCTATTACATATTTAAATGTATGTATATGCAACCAACTATACAGACATCTATACCCGCCCGCTTCTTTGCAATTGTTTAGTTCCAACTCAGCGAAAAAATCCTGGATATCAAAAGTAGGTATAAGAAACCTTTCCACCTATTAGTTGAACGTCTTAATTATCAATTAGTTCCAAAATGGTGTATCTACCAACAGCTATCCCAGTTAAATCGATTTTGTTTGCAAGCTAAAAACACTTTTTTTCGTAATAATAATACGTGGATGTTACAAGATGAATTATTACCATCATTTTATATTTCGTAATGGGAGGCAATCAAAGGCAATTATCGAAGGATCTTTGAAGTTGCATTGCGAAGAAAATTACTGTAATAGGAGCGACCGAGAAGGGAAGAATTTCATCGTCGAATTGGATTTTCCTTGAAGAGAACTACGAGCAATGAACAAAGAAAGCTCGACCAGCGATTTTAAAACCGAAAAAGGATCACGGGCTTTTGGTCGCCGAAGTAATCAGAAGTTATAGAAGAGAAGCGCGATATCCTATTATTTTTGCACATTTTCTGCGCTTGGCTTGTCGACGGATTCACCCGCGTTCCATTCCCGAAGGAATCCCGCTTAATTTTAGTTTATATCTCGTGACCAGCCCTAAATCAACAAAAGGTCGTAAAAATAAAATCACCCTGACCCCCGTAAACGACCGGGATACATACGCTCGCCGGACACCTTCCTTCCCCTTTTCAATGAATATGAATGATTCTGATAATGGAAAATATTTCAAGTAAGAACACACTTTACGTCTCAAAAAGAGAATAAGGAAAGCATTTGACGCAATTCCAGAGTTACTAAAATTTATTATTATCGTTCTTCCATTCACTAAATAACAATTAAACTTTCAGATCATCTAAATAATTTTGGTTTCAATGAACATTAAAATGGTGACCGTCTTCACTCATCCTGATAGTGAAAGAATAAAAACTAATGGTAAATAAGTACTGTCACATGTATGCAAGCAACCCAACATACGTAATTACAAAAAAGACCACATTTTCTAGACGTCACATTCCGGATCATTCTATAACATGGCCAGCCTCTATAAATAGTTGCAACGAAGTCGGAGGGGTTAGTTGGAGAACGAGTTATGAGGCGATACAGAGCGAAGTGTGCGATATAGTAGTAAATTAATGACAGTACTTGCTGTTAATTACGAATAGCAAATTATCAAATAAATTTAACAATAATGAGGAATATGTTTGATTACATGAAAATACAAAAACACCAACCTCTTGCAAGTTCTTTGATTAATTACTCTAAATGCGCTCTTTATTTTTTCTGTCGTCGATCCCTAAAATAAAATTCCGCCCATATTTTTTTTATGATCACCCAGTATTTCGCGGTCAGTTTCAGATCAAAATCGTAAACCAGAATAGCGTTGCTTGATGGAATCTAATGATAGGGATGGAACGGGAAGAGATATGTGTGCATCTTGCCGCCGTATTCGTCCTTTTTATAGATAATCCTGTTAAGCCGTTGAGGGAAAGCCGTTTTATAGATATAAGCTCGTAATGGTTGACTATAAGTATCCATTGAAGAAACATAAAAATCCGCGACTATCGTTTTATAGTCAATTACAGGAACCTCATTTGTGCAGTCATAACGTTCGTTTTTACGAATGCGCAACAAAAAAACAATCGCCTCGGTAAATCTCATCCTTTCATTTTTCTTAACATCTAACCTCTAAATAGTAATTGAAATGGTTTCACCATCAAAACACATCAGACTCTTCAATCAAGTTAATTATGAGCAGCTAAAATCCCCCCAAATATGGATTGCAGCATCAACATAGGTTCTTCAGGCCAAAAATTGGTTCGACCCCTTCACTTCTTCCATCTTGAGGCAATCTTCTAAAACTGAGTCAACTTACAACCCTAACTGTTTGCGAATAGTAATCTGTTCTAGATCTATCTCTACCCCTCTTAATTCCTATTTCTTCTTCTAATATGTCTCTAACTACCCCTTCATGTCTGAGGAGGTGCCCTACCAACCTATCTCGCCTATTTCTTCCTACTCTCTGCAATACCTCTTTTCTTTTGCGCAGCTCCTAAGGCGTGCTGATGAGATCAAGTAAACTCAAAATCGCAATCTAAGTCTGGTAACTTAATCTTATTACGTACAGGGTTAATCAATTTTTCTGGTTACAAATTTACCAAAATTGGAAAGGTAATAATGTCACGGCAGGGAAAATACCTAGGTTCACAATAATCTATTGCCTTCACAGCTGCCTTCGATAGAATTTAATTATGAACGCGTTGGTCTGGTTGCCAGCTGATCCACCCCAAAATGACGCCATCTATATTCTCGACCGCGCGCCAAAGCTCGTGTACATTCCTGCTAAACAAGATCGAAGCGCGTACATGAGGATGGTATCGCGAAAATTTATTGGCAGCTTTGCACCACCGTCAACGTCCATATGAAATTTTGTTTCTGTTCCGCAGCTATGAAAGCGCGCGCTCGCCCGCAGCTTTTAACTTTTGTTCCCGCCGATGTCACAGATAGAGCTTTTATTTATTATCCGAACGCGTTCTGTTCACTAATAAAAGAGTCAATCACAAATAAAGTTCTCTCCGCCACTCTTATCCAAATCCAAAGGATTACAAATTAAGACAGAGAAAGAACAATTTTGAATTAATTAGTTTCTTTTAGTTATATAAATGATCAGCGATTTAGTGATTTTGAGCACCGAAGCACGGAGAACATTTAAGAAATCCCTACTTGACACTAAATTCCTTAAAGGATTGAAAAAGGATATCCACATCAGGGGCATATCAATCTTAATATGACATGGGATAAACAGGTTCAGATAAGGTTTCCACATTTGGACCAAATCATTCTTAATAAGGCATGCCATAAAAAGGTTCAAATGGGGTTTCCACATGAGTCTTGATAAAATAAAGTATTCTGTTAAAGATTGCAGGGTTCAGGTTGGATGTACCAGCGTATTACTTGCTATGCTTAAAAGTAGATTTTACTACGTGGAGCTTTTTAAATGACCTTACAAATATCTACACCAAAAGTACGTAGTAACAAACAAAATTTTTTTCTCGAAGTACAAACATTTACTTCGTTTTATGAAAAGCAACCATTGTATTCGAAAACCCTTAAAATTAATTAATTAACTTTTTTAAGAATCATATGAAACTTTAATTACATTAAGTGGTAACTAACCGACCCTTTTTCTAAAAAGTATAATAATTAGCAAGGGCTAAGTTTAATTAATAACTACACACACAACTATAGAACTATGTCAGTATTTTAGGCCAAAAACAACACCAACATCCCTTCTCTCGACAGTCAAATAACATTTTGTGTCTACGTGAAATTTGAACGACTAATCTCCGTGAAAACGACCTTCCATAATTAGAAGGCTTAGTTGAACTTCATAAATTACATAATCCGATCGTATTTGATCATCGGCGAGCGAAGCAGTCTAAAAGTTAACGACTTATTACTAAACTGAATATTATATCAAACAAATCCGCCCGTTCCACTTTAAATTACGAAAGTTTGGATATTATTTTCATTAAAATATCACTGTGTATTACCGGGAGGATTAAAGAGAGCTAAATAAGAAGTTCATTCTAATTTGAGCTATCTATCAACCTCGAAATTATTTCATAAAAAACAAATGGCAGAACTGAAAAAGTTCTTTAACTTCGAATACAGCCATCAAAATGTAATCAAGATAATTTTATTATGTCTTCACTACGTTACAATGATGTACAAGTAATGGAACCTTTTTGAGGGAAAATTTCACATAAATACAGCAAGCTTGAGCCGCGTAAACAGTCACCCTGCACTCTTTTTAAACAATGTGAGCTTTATTTCAATGTACCTATGGTCCACAAAATAGATCACTTTCAATTCTGATTGGAATTTCGCAGAAACTCGGCAGAATGGTAGATAGGTACCATTTTTTATATTTTATAGTTCCGCCATACCGCCGACCTTCCTGTAATCGTTACAATTTTCAAAAAACGGCAATGGCCCAGTGGTATCAATGAGCGGCTTCCATGCGAAAGGGCCCGGCCTCTATGCTCAGTCGATGCCATAGCTTTTTTTTCTTATTCTAATATATTTGTTAACCTTTTAATACTTCTATTTTTATTCTATCAAATTCAACAGTTTACACGAGAACAGATTTAACTTGTTCGTCCTAGGGTAAATTTATTACCTTCATGTCTTTTGTTGAGAGACATCTCTATCTGTAAAAGGTGATACATCTTAAACCATACAGATAAAAAATTTACTTTATCGTGACGACTATCACATATTATTATTACGGTTTCAGGACATTTGTTACATAAAGATATCGTATTTCAAAAGAAAGCAATAAATGCATATTGTGGTGGTTTTTCCTTCTGCGCCATGTGGTTCCACTGCTAAAACAGCTGCAGATGCTCGATGCTTTTGCTTTTTCTTTCAACGACTAGGCCGTAGGACAAAAAATAATTAATAAATAAAAAAAAATATGGCGTTAGTCTCCAGAAAGCAATTTTTAACTGTAAGTGCTTTAGTTCACACCGATCTTTGAAAGAAATTGTACAGAACCATTATGCTTATTAACAAAAGTAATATTCACAGTCCGATTTTTTCGTCTAAGTTAAAGTAGTTTTAAAAACTAAAGTGAAAGAGGTCAACGTACGTCCCTGTTTATTTTTAATACTTCGCATACCTTTACACCTTCATTTATTCAGACGGTAAAGTTTTTCTGTTCTATTCGAATTGCAATTGTCAAAACTTTTAAAAATGTTTATTACATCTCGAATCTGGATAATAAATAAATAATGGTGACATCTTCGAAAAAGGCGTTTCAATACGGATAAAACCGATCGAGTGTTAAAGGAAATGTGTTGGTGTTTGAAAGTGTTTTTTCGTGTTTGCGCCAATCTAACGTGCAGACTTTGTAGCTTTATTGTCCATCAACTTTACAAAATATGTTGCGTTTGCTGGTGCCCAAACTTTACCTCGACCTCATCTTCAAATCGTTACGAATCGAACAGAAACAGCGAAAACAACTGTGGTAAGCAGTTTAAATATACGTACTTAACATTTTAGTAAGTACTGCCCTGACAAATAAACTTTGATTTTTACGTTTTAAATATATAACAAATGGGACATTTACAAAGTGGAAATCTATATTATTATTGTAGTAATGTAATGTGTAAAACCACTATTTTTTTATCACCAAATAGCTAATACCTAAAAAAATTTATCTACAAATTTTCACCTATTCTATTAATCTACTACAAAACCTAATTGTAAATTAAATTGTTAAATGTACTTCTTACCAGAGAATAAAATTTAGTTTCTTGCAAACAAATACTTTTTCAATCAGGTCAGTCTTTGTTTCAACTTGTTTTTATTGGATAATACGATAACGAAGTCCGAACACAAGATTCTACATCGCATGTCACTACTTATCTCGGTCTTATCAGGAGAGCAAAAAATTTGACGATCTTTTTTGCCCTTTACTAAACGAACTACACGATTTCAACATCACGCAATAAACAAGCTTTCGTTGAAACGGTTTAAAGGTGATAGACAACATAAAAAGAGAAAGGCGTTTATTCGCATTAAAATAGTTGTGTAAATTCATCCACTTTAACGCAACATTATATGGCTTTCTTTTGTATTGACTGAAAGAAAAATAAGTGTAGCATTTCAAATAACAAACGAATTTGATGTTCTGTAATATCAGAAAATTATTTTCTCTAATGATATCAAAAGCCTGATTAGTAATTAATGACTATTGAAAACACTGAAACGAAATTAAGATGAAAACATCTCAAAACTTTGCAAAAAACAGAGTAGCTTTTCGTATTATTGTTCAGGAATATTTCGATTATTTATTAATAAAAATCATTTTTGACTGAATAAATAACAAAATAGATTTGAAATTGACAATCATCTAGCACAAAACAGAAGCTGCTGCTACTCTTGTTCTAGTTTGACTTTTTGCAATTTTTCGCCTGGAGAAACGCGAAATTTATCTCGAAACAAATTTCCTGACATTTCATATACAGTTTATCGAATTCCCTGATCCAGAAAACTCTTCGATCTGTTACTTTTTGTCATCATATTCGCCACCTTTCGTCGATTGATTTATACGATGAATCAATCTGCAGGGCCGTACTCCGGAATTCATTACATGCATCAATAGAAATAGATGAAGTGAAAACATTTTAACAGTTGAATTTTTTGTTTTTCAGAAGCCATTTTTCACGAATCATTTTATCAAGATGTAGATCGAAACACTGCAGAAAAACTACTCTACAAAAAGCAGGATGGTACCTTCATTATCAGACCTACACACATCGCGAATTGTGTGGCAATATTATCTGTAATACAAAATGATCGGTATGTAGCATAGTGTGTAAAGTATTGCCTGTTTTAAGAAAAAAATCCGCTGTTATTTTAATCGAATGGCGGATATCATCTTTTATTAGGTTTTAGGTAAATTTTATCTATCTGTTCGTCAAAATTTTTAATAAACGCAAACGGCTCAGTGGTATCGATGGCCGATTGCAATTCAGGAGGGCCCGGTCTCTATACTCGACTGATGCTACAGCTTTTTCTTATTAAAATTTTGGTAATAATTTAAACATCAGCCTTTGCTTTATGTTTCTGTAATTTCAGAATATTTCACCTGACCATACGCAGGAGGAGGGACGGGAAACTCTCTTTAGGAAATGAAAAAATAAATGAAAGATGCTTTGGAAGCCTTAACGAACTCATCAACTTTTACATCAGCAATTATCTCATGTTGCAGTCTACGGATGCGACGAAAGCACATACATTACTTTTACCATTTCTGGGATGTTAAAAAATAAATATAATAAAACCTAAGACTGTAATTAAAATACAATATTCTTATGATTTGTAAACAGTTCAGTATTAAAAGCAAATCATTGAGCATTTACTGTATTTTAAAAGCAATTATAAATATTCAAAAAAATTTCTTGTGCGTATGTTGTCACTATTTCATAAAATGGAAAAAATATGTTAGGAACCCCAGTATATAGGCATGAACTGCTATTTAGAAATATTTCAGATGCAGAATCAGATGTTAAGGGGTGTTGAATAATCGAAACTAACGATTTATTTTTCAATTTTTTGATACGCCCATTTCGCCAGTTACTTACAAATCATAAACAAACATGCTTTTCGTTCGTGAAATTGAAAATGGCAAATTATTATTTGTGTCTAAAGCAAGTGTCATCCGTGCCTATGACACTCGTAAAATTAATTTTCGAGCCCAGTTCGCATTCAAAATAAAGTCCAAGTGTACTCTCCGTTCGTACAAAATCAAACTTGTTTGGTGCTGTGTGCGCGAGTGAGTTTGCTTCTATATCGGTTTATTGAATTAGTTTACGAATACAGATGAGAGCACAACAGACAGACAGATACCAATTAGTGTACAATCGCAATAAAGAGATGCTACATTCATTTTATTGCCATATAAAATCTACAACACAACCGTACGATAACCGGCTACTGTTTGATGAAATTAAATTACAAAATCGTGTTCTCATAAAATTGTCGACTACGCGACACGAATGCTAACGAGAAAGGCTATGAATGAAACCAATAAAAATATATAATTTATAATAAATCTAAACGTCGACACAGGGTGTAACTTCATGTGATTGAATTTAAGTTCTGCTTCATCGAAAATTAAACAGGACGGGTAGTAGAGTTGCAGATGAGCGCGCGCATGAGCAGGAAACGAATGAAATTACATACCATTGCGAAAACATTGACTCCGAAAGTCAACGTTCATTAGTATGTGAAAAATTGGGATTAATAGTTATCCCAATTGTTCAAAATAATATAAAAATTGATGACTAATGACATAATTTCTGGTAAACAGACAGAACGGTTGTCATAAATATTCAGGTGAAGTGAGGGGTTGATTGTTTGAGAAGTGGGCCATGTTGGTTCTGGTAAGTCGCCAAGAAACGAACGTTTTGAAGGAATGAATATAAAAGCGACGTGTCCTACGAATTGGAAACTTTATTTCTTAAAGATCGATACATTGCTTCACTCGCGCATTTGCATTCTTGCATGATCAATCCATAAATTTTTGAATGAATATCTTCCTCGTCCCGCAGGATTATCCCACCCACTGCCTTCCGAAACCGTCGTCCCCGTCCAAGTCTCTCGCTTTTTCCTCCTGTTTCCTTTAATATCCCCGCCGTTGGAAATTTATTGCCGACGAATATTTATTTGTTGCAGGAAATGCGCCCTCGCCGCCGCCTAATACTCTACAGCTTCTGCTGCTGCTGCTGCTGTTATAGGTATCATTTAATCCAGAGGGAACGAAAGAAGAGGAGGAGAGGAGACTCGTTCTCTTATTATTCTCCTTCTTCTACATCCACTTATTTCGCAGTTGGTTAATTTGAAATGTTACTCGGAAAACGTTGTCATTTTTATTAAGTGACAGGCAGCATAGGCCCTCTGTATTATAATCTGACAGACGACACAAAATAATCTAATCCTCCGTGTCGTTTCGAAAATTTCGACAGGATAAACAAATGATACGTGAAATTGAAAAGCTACAGAGATGAATATTATACTTATCTAATAAGAAAAACTGAGCAGAGGGTAGAAAATGATATCATACCATCACCAGCACGTATTTTCCTATACCCAAGAAAAATTAATAAATCCACTCAAAAAATTATCTTTCTAAAACTTACTTCTCCAAGCCCAAAACAAAAAGAAACAAATGCCACCTGACGATGGTTGTTTAGTTAACAATAATGTACACTTTTGAATAGGGTGAGTGCCGATGGGTGAGAGGCCTGGACGCGAATGAACAACCCACCACATCGCAGAATTGTCTTTCTAATTAGATTACTTCCTTTTAACTACTTAATACATTATCCTTAAGGAAGAAGAATCAATAAAACATTTCATACAATTTTCAAATAATATTTTGAAACAATACGTAAGAACTAGTAAATCGTGTAAACCTATAATATTTTTCCAACACATAAAATTTCCTATTTATTAAGTATCTACATAAAACAACTGTAAAAAATTGCTCAATAAATATTTATTGATCCAAGTATTTTTATACGTCGTTGCAGTTGTACATCAAATTCAACTTTTGTACATCCGATGGACTAAAACCGTTCCTTTGGCCTAATGTAACATTTGGTTTCTAAAAGTATAAATAAAGATGAACAATTCGACTGCTATTTTTTCTACTGGTTTTCAGTAGTAGATTTGATAAAGCAGATGTCGTTAACGTACCTTCGCCTCGATCGTTTTTTTACCATTCTTGGAAAAAGCGTAATCACTGTAGTGCATCACGCTACCATAATCGTATGGAACCCCAAAGTGGGACACCTCCTTTTCTGAGTATTTTTCAAAATTGTGTTTGTGCACTCAAAAATGATTTAATATGTTTATGGTAGGTATACATATATATATGTATCTAAGTATAGGAAAAAGATCAAATATTACAATACCTTTTTCTATATTATCCCAATTAATATTGACATAATCATCCCTGTCATGCGAACTTTGTTGGTGATAAAACCCAACAGCGTGTAAGAATTCATGAATTATTACCCCTTTTGTGATACATTTCTTTCCCTTTTCATCACCATACAAATTTAAAATTTGTTTCCCGCCTTCCCTTCCAACCGACGAAAAACAACCCGATTCCTCATTCTTAAATATATAAGCACATTCTCAAAAACCATAGGAAACTTTTACTCTAAATAATTTATTTATGTTACCTGCACATAAACATAATCTTCGTCGTCCTTATTTTTAGGTCTAACTTTTACGCAAGAAACATTTGCAAATTCCTTTAAGACATCGTCCACATATAGCTTTGCATCGTCCGCTAAAATACATCACATGATCGACTACCCAACCTAAAATTTTACAAAACTGCTTACGAAAATCAGGATCAAATTCGTACGGGATTTCGTTGTTTTTCCATCGACGAGATTCATCGTGTATAATGCCGTTTTTAGAAACGTCGTGATTAAAAACGATGTCACCCTCAAACTGTCCACTCAATTCCCAAATGTTTTGCTTATCGTCCTCTGCCCATTTTAAGAATAAATCAACTACAAATTCGCGTATAATATTATAAACTTATTGTTTAACTACCCTAGAATAGTGCTCACGATCTCGTGCTGCCAACTTCTTGGGTGCACCATTGCAAATACCAAAACCGATGGTACAAAAACATATTAAACTGCAAACTGTCGACAAAGCCATGAAATACCTACAGTAAACTCTTATCAGCTACAGTACTTGCTTCAAATAACAATAAAATTGAATGTGTTTTTACAATTTATAGGTAGATAGGACAGGGCGTTTAATTTAAAAGTTTAATAGGTACGCACTAACGTTAAACGATAAAAAACACTTTGCCTAGATATCTAAATTTAATTTAAAATTTTTATCGACCCTAATATTGTATGTATCACAAGACAAACCACTGAGAAATTCAAGTGCCGTTTTAGTATGCATAATTTTAATATCTTTCGTATCGAATATTTACATAAATAAAGCTTCAATTACTATAAACTAGAATTTTTCGCGACAGTTTCAACGACAATGTTTACTTAGTTATTATTATTATTTTTTATTTTTCTTGCTTCTTTTCCGTACCAATTTTTAATAAAGCCGAAGAAGTTCGTCGTTTCTAAAGCAACACTTTGTAAAAAGAGCCCGAGTACGTCAACCCCGCCCCCTCCCCGTTCCCTTTTCTCCTTCAAAACACCCCGTACCGAAGGTCAGATGCCGTTTCTTGGAAACGCGTTCGTTAATGAAACGAAGCTCAGGTCTTGAGCACAAAAATTCCGCCGCCTTATTCCACAACCTGCAGCTTTAAAGCTCACCGAGCCTTACTTATATAGGAGAGAGGGAGCGAGAAGTCAATTAAAATGCAAACCCTTGCTTTTACAACACATTTTGTCCGGCTTTACTACATTGTTATACGTATACGTGTCCTTTTTTCCTTCCGTAGGAAAGGACGATGTTCCTCAAACAATGTTGTAACCTAACAAAAAATGCCCTACATTTTTTTATCAGAATTATTTTCAGTTTTTCTTCAAGTAAATAAACTTCAGAAATGGTTAATGTTTTCTAGAAATTTCTTCTGAACTTCTGGCTGACGACAGTAACAAGTTTCCTCTGTTAGAAAGTCATACAAATGGGACCACCCACCGACATGCAGTCACATCATTGCAGAACACTTTACATCAGCCTGTAACACTCTCAAATATTCGTACATATTCTAGCACATTTTGGATCATTTTTATGTTGGAAGAAATTTTTCAAACTGAAAGAGATCTATTCGCATTGCCCAAAATGGTACAATTTATCAGTGGGACCATCACTGATGGGTAGCAGTCAGAAAAGCACGCTCTTTTGGTTGTTCTGTTTTCCAAATTAGTACGTAATTACAATCAAAATTATTTCCTAATTGTAAAGTGAATGAACCTGGAGGAAATTCGCTGGCATGTTTGAAAGTTAGCGGTAGCACTTAAATTTTATTGGCTCGCCCAACGACCGACCAGGGCAAACTCGATTTTATTTAGCGATTATGTTGAGAAATACGTTCCTTAAGATCGTATTGCCAGGGTGTTTCAAGTCGGGGGACGAAGGCGCTAATAAAGAAAATTTTCAGTTGAAAACTTTTAACAAGTTCTAATTTATTAACGGCGCGCCGTGCCGCAAGCGGCCTGCGGCCAACCACGTTATCCGTATGGAGTTACCTACCATCCATCGCTAAGACATCGGCAACTTGGCAAACTTAAATTGCGAATTCCCGTCTCGACACCGACAACAAACGGTTTTCAGTTTTAATTGATTCTACTTGTATAATTTCATAAAACAACGTCTTGACTAATCGGAAATGATTTCTCGTAAATACTGGGCCGTGTAATAAAACCGTTGCATTTTTGGTGGTCTAAAATGACCAATATTATATTCAATTGGACAATCGTCAAAGAGAATCAACAGACAAAATTGTCGTTGAGCTTTTTAAAAAATCACAATTATTACAGTGTAATTGATCTCTTACTTGAGATATCTGATATAGGCTGACTCAAGCTTGACTATCAATCATTTCTATGGTTTGTACAATACATGTGTAAATAAAATAGGTTTTACAAAAACTCACCTATTCACTGTTACGCAAGCCTTTGGATTTCAGCATCTGCAAGGAAAAGAAAGAAATGTTAAAACGTCTCTTGTTGGTAAATAAGTTTATTTTACCAAATCGAGAACAAACTGTAAAGATAAAAGGAAATAAATCTGATATTTTAGTAGCATACGTATATCTTGAGGTTCCGCAAGGGTCTCATGTAGGTCCCCTGTTATTCGTAATTTTCATAAATGATATAAGACTGCAGAATTAAAAATATCTGCTGATGATATGAAAAACTATACTCTCTATGATCAAGTTCAGTTACAAAAGGATTTCTATCTTGATGGATACAATTCACTCCTCATGAAAGTTAGCAACTATTAAATATGTAGACCAAGTAACTTTTCCTTTAGCACTACACTTTTGAATAAATAAACCGATCAATAAGTTGCTGCCATCCCCGAAAACAAAACGAATTAAGTACAAACTTGTACATAATTAAACTAATTTAGATAAACAAAACTTGCGAAACTGTTTGACATTAATTATCAGTCCTGTTTGTAATCCTTCATCGCATTATTTCATCGACAACGGGTTTAAGTTGTTCCGAATAAAGTTTTCAACAAAACAACACCTCCCTGACACACCCCCTCAACCTCCGTATCTTCAACTCTCAAGAACCACAACAAATATTGTTCCGCACTTTCTCCCTCTCTATCTTTTGTTCTTCAGTCTCTGACGTAGTGACACTTTTGGAAAACTTCTGTTTGTTTAATGAATCGTATCCAAGATACAATCTCTGTCTCAAAAAGTGCCAATTCCAAAGGATAATTAAGACTCTAACTAATCGTAAACTAAGTTTCCTGATGAGATTATTCATTTATCTATCTATTGTGCATACCACGATTAGGAGTGTGAAGTGTAAATATGTCTTGTAGTATGTCTTTATAGACTTATTGGTATCGACACCATTTTCTTTAAAAGTCATAACAAGCTCGCATGTCCTATGACAGAAAGTTTCAGCATTTAAAACAGTTATTGTAAATTAAATAAGAAAATCCGTGGAAATTAAAATTAATTTGCTAAAGACATTTATTTAGATAATTTCTTAATATATTACATTATGTCATTACATAGCTAGAGCTTTATGAAAGTGGTAGGCGGCAGGTATTTATTTAATGTCAGAAAGCATATTAAAAAGTCCATTACGGTACGGAAACTGACACATCAAAGCAGAAAAATAGGAAGAGTAGATAAAGGCAACATTTCGTTTTTGTTTTTGGTGGCTGGGGACCATTATCGTTATTAATTTATGGACGCCACATCTAATTCGCTTCCTCTGCTTTCCGTGGTTTCCATTTCCTTAATGTGAAACAACCACAACTGTTTCCTATCTTAAGTTTGCTTCGCGAACCATCCATTTAATAGGACCAACAGAGACAGTACTCACCTAAATTCAGAGACATGAATACAATTTAAATTGTTCTCTGATGTCTTTTATTTATACCGTCTCGTTCCTCCATCAAATGTAAGAAACGGTAAACGTAATTTCAGTTAAACATTACACTCTCAGACCGTTTCTAAATGGATAATAAGTTTGTGAAATGATATCAAGCATTCAGCAAAGTAACAACGCGTCATTTTTTCATTTTTTTCGATCTTACGTCACTGACCGATCTCAAAATGTTTTTATCTATAATACTCAAGACAATCCAACATTATCGGCATGCATCTATTATGATAATTCATTTAGTTTTACGATATGTTCACGAAAAATTTCTGGCGCATCCATTGCTCAAGTTATGATAATTCATTCAGCCTACTGGGATGTTCACAACAGAGTAGCGTCGAATGCAAGAATAGTATCTCCTTTGGTGCATCAGCCGCGTACAATTTGTAAAACGAATTGGTTTTAGATTTCAAGACTTCTCTAGAAAAACTGCTGACGCATCTATCCCTCCAATTCTCCGTCAATAGTTATGCTAGTTATGCGTCAACCTTGTGCATCAAGTGCACCAAAAGGCACCAGAGTAGCGTTGGACGCAAGAAAGGTATATCATTCAGTGCATCAGCCGCGTATAATATTTGGTAATACTGGTTTAGATTTCTAGACTTATCTAGAAAGACTGCTGACGCATCTATCCCTCCAACTCTTCGTCAATAGTTATGCTAGTTATGCGTTAACATTGTGCATCAAGTGCACCAAAAGGTACCAGAGTGGCGTTGGACACAAGAAAGGTATCTCATTCAGTGCATCAGCCGCGAATAATATTTGGCAATATTGGTTTAGATTTCTAGACTTATCTAGAAAGACTGCTGACGCATCTATCCCTCCAACTCTTCGTCAATAGTTATGCTAGTTATGCGTTAACATTGTGCATCAAGTGCACCAAAAGGCACCAGAGTGGCGTTTGACGCAAGAAAGGTATCTCATTCAGTGCATCAGCCGCGTATAATATTCGGTAATACTGGTTTAGATTTCTAGACTTATCTAGAAAGACTGTTGACGCATCTATCCCTCCAATCAAGTGCACCAAAAGGCACCAGAGTGGCGTTGGACTCAAGAAAGGCATCTCGTTCAGTGCATCAGCCGCGTATAATATTTGGCAATATTAGTTTGGATTTCTAGACTTATCTAGAAAGAGTGTTGACGCATCTATCCCTCCAATTCTCCGTCAATAGTTACGTTAATTGTGCGTCAACCTTGTGCATCAAGTGCACCAAAAGGCACCAGAGTGGCGTTTGACGCAAGAAAGGTATATCATTCAGTGCATCAGCCGCGTATAATATTTGGTAATACTGGTTTAGATTTCTAGACTTATCTAGAAAGACTGCTGACGCATCTATCCCTCCAACTCTTCGTCAATAGTTATGCTAGTTATGCGTTAACATTGTGCATCAAGTGCACCAAAAGGTACCAGAGTAGCGTTGGACACAAGAAAGGTATCTCATTCAGTGCATCAGCCGCGAATAATATTTGGCAATATTGGTTTAGATTTCTAGACTTATCTAGAAAGACTGTTGACGTATCTATCCCTCCAATTCTCCGTCAATATTTATGATAGTTATGCGTTAACCTTGTGCATCAAGTGCACCAAAAGGCACCAGAGTGGCGTTTGACGCAAGAAAGGTATCTCATTCAGTGCATCAGCCGCGTATAATATTTGGCAATATTGGTTTAGATTTCTAGACTTATCTAGAAAGACTGTTGACGCATCTATCCCTCCAATTCATCGTCAATCCCATGCATCAGACGCATCAAAAAAGCCGCTTCAATTCAATCTTCATTATAGTTAAACCCTGAGGTCGAGGCAGTGTGTCAACTGCATGCATCAGTCGCATACGGTCGCCGTTGACGAAAGATAAGTGGTGTGTCAACCATGTGCGATCTGCGATAAATCATATAATTTTCTGGTATACTCTTGAAAGAGTTCTGAAGGATCTATTTTGCTAGTTAACCTTAACGTTGTGCATCAAGTACACCAAAAGACAGCAGCGTAGAGTCGGACGCAAGAGAAGTGTCTCATTCAGTACACCTACCGCGTATAATATTTGGCAAAATTAGTTTAGATTTCTAGACTTTTTGCGAAATACTTGTGACGCATCCATCTCTCCAATTCTGCGTCAATCTCATGCATCAGACGCCCAAAAAAGCAGCTTCAATTTGGTCTTCATTATAGTAGGGCGCTGAGGTCGAGGTAATGTGTCAACCGCATGCATCAGTCGCATACGATCGACACCGGCGAATGATAAGGGATGTGTCATCCATGTACGATCATCTGCGATCATTCAATCAATTTTCTGACCCATGCATTGCTCTGGTTCTGCGCCAACCTGCAGTGCCTTCAGAAAATAAACCAACAAGATCGATTGAACTCCGTACAGTTTATAATTTTGAACTCTGGCAACGAAACCATCGTGGACCTCTTATAAACTTTTACGAACTCTCCCTTATGCATAAGTAGTATCATTGAAATAAGTTTCGCTGACGTCACACTGCATTCAGGCGTGTAATATGTACGAGGTATATCTTAGTTTTGGATAGTCAGTGGATGTTGAATATAGCCGTCGGCCACGTCTATACTGCAGAACGTAGACACACACGCATACAGAGAAGGAGGAAGCGAGAAAGGGAGATGAATGTATTATCTGCAGCTCAACTTAATTAACCCGTGCGGTTGAACTGGTCCCGATGCCACCGACGGCGCCGACACCAGCACCACACCGCCGTATCTCAGACGCCTTTCCTATTTCTAGGATGAAAGGCGAGTTCCTGACGCTGGCGGCAGTTATATGTATACTGAGAGCCGAGGGCCGAGAGAAGGCTAAGAGCCACCCCTGTGTCAGCGAATTTCAAAGGTGGTCGAGCTCCACTGGTCCAACAATATAATAATATTCGAAACAAGCTCCGGGCTCTCTATCTTTGCACGATATATCCACGATAAATTATCAAGTGTGTGCACCTAGGCGGATAAATTGTTGAGGACGTGTCCGGCACAATGCAACGTTGACGGCGGACGAGGAGAGGGCTGACGTCTAAATTTAGTAACAGGAAATCCCTATTACAAACTATTATTATATTTTAGCATACTTGTTGGATTCTAAATTCTAGCTCAAGGAAGACATAAAGCATGTTGTAAAATTGCGACAACAACGGAGCGGCATGGCCTAGAGGTTTAGACCATTGCTTAGCATTCGGGAGGACGCCGGTTCGATTTCGGGTCCGTCTTCCTTGGTCCAAGTTTTTCTATGGTTTCCTTGGATCACTTAGGTAAATGCTGGGGCAGTAATATTCCATAGATAATCTATCATTCTTTTCTGTCTTCATTTCGTCCGTCTCATCTTCCTCACACGAACCACCACCCTCCCTGAAAAGGGCCTTCCGCCGTGCCTTCCGGCGTAGTCCAGAGGGACTGCCCGCCTACCAGAATTACTGGCTGGTGGGAATGAAACACCTAAAACTTTTTTTTACTTACACCTGGGCAAGCCCCATTACCCATCTATTGCTGTCGTCTGTGATTTCGTGAACTCCAGAAGCACAGGAGCACCTTCTAACCAGGGAGTAACAA